ATTAGGTTGTTCAGCTCATCTTTCTTTCTTTCTCCACTTTATCTGGCTTGTGACAGTGGAAGATTAAACTTTTCTATTGATAGAGTGTATCTATAGCATTTCTTGTAGTTTTGCTTCATAAATGTTGTTGCTGTGTTATTGATGAAAAATATTCAGGTGTTAAGTCTTCATTGTGATTATTTTTTAAAGAATTATTTTATTTAACTTTATTTATTATTTTCCAGTTTGATCAGACAGAGAGAGAGAAAGTGAGAAAGCAAATCACCAGGTTCAAGACTTGAACCACAGTCAGTCATGTGGGGGTCCAGCACCTTTAACTACCACACACCTGCTGGCCCCGTGATTACCTTATTTTTAACACTTCTATTGCCATGGCTTCATGATTTGACAATTGAGTTTTCTTTTGTCACTTAGGATCACTACCCTTGTTCTTTTTATATTCTGTATATTTTTTGCCATCCTTTTATTTTTAGCCTTTATGAATCACTTTGGTTTAGGTGTTTTTTATACATATGGCATGTAGTTGGGTTTCGTTTTGCAAGTCAATCAGCTTTTGTTTCTTTAAACAGACGTTATATCCATTCACATTTTAAATTTTACTTTTAAAAATAACAAAACAAAGCTGTCATTTTGGTGTATCGTTTTATTAGTTTTAACGTATGTGCAAATTTATGTTACTATCACCATAATCAGAATAAAGAACAATTCTTTTATCCTCAAAAATACTTCCCCACATTCTCTTTCAGGGTCAGTCTCATCCTCCCTCCTAACTCCTGGGAAATACTGATCTGCTTTCTGTTGCTATAGCTTTGCCTTTCCTGGAATGTCCTTTAAGTGTCATACGAATTCAATCACATACCATGTAATCTTTCAGACTGGCTTCTTCCACTCAGCATGTTGCCTTTGGGATCCACTTGTGTTGTTGCATGTAGCAATCATTCCTTCCTTTTTATTGCTCAGAAGTTTGTGTGTGCTTAACTTTACTTAAAATTTTTTCCAGTTTTAAAGAGTGCCATTTGAATTTCCACCAGACTAAAACCCCAGTTGCTTTGCTTCCTTGTTCACACTTAGTCTTGTCAAGTTTTTTGTTTGTTTTCCCATCTTGAAGTAGTATCTGGCCATGGTTTTGATTTCATTTCTCCAAAGGCTAATGATATTATGCATCTTTCACATGCTTACTTATCTCTTATATCTTCTTTGGTAAAGTGTTTGTTCAAGTGTTTTGCCCATTTTTTAATTATGGTTTTGCTTCCTTATTGTTGAATTTTCAAAATTCTTTATGCATATCCTAGGTACAAGGAAATGACACTTGCAAATATTTTCTCCTACTCTGAAGTATTATTTGTGATTTGGCTATTGGAATCATACTTGGTATGGTGACTACATCTACGTGGTCCAGAGAGTAAAAGAGGAAATGAATATTACACTACTTTAAATAAATGTATACATGCACATACATATTAAGAAGTGACATCATCAGGATGACCAGCTAGAAGCTCCTAGCTATCTTCCCCCAACAATAAAAACACAAAACAATGTTGCCAGCAGATGGGTAATTGTTATATCACTGGACTTCTACATGGTTGACTGTGGTTTGAGTCCCCCAACCCAGTGGCTTGAAAGCATGCTAGTCACATGTGCATGCATGCCCAATATCCCAGGAGGAGAATGGAGAAGGGATGATGGCCATGGGTGATTTCTTACTCTTCTCACTGTCTCTGTTTCTGTCTCTCTCTCTCTCTCTCTAGCAAATGCATGTGCCCTATGGCAAAAACCTCTTAAATCATACACATACACAAAACAGTGAATAGGCAATTCCACCTTGCCCAAAATAGCTAAAGCAGAGCTCAGGAAAATAGCAAAGCAGCAGCAAAAAATCCTATAGAGCATAGAAACTCAGGATGACCACATAGGAAAAAGAAGAAAACATTTTGCCTTCCCACCTCATTCTCCCAGTAGGGATCAGCTCAGGACTAGGAGGGACTCCTTTCTGCAAGAAAAGGTAAGAAAGAGGACCCAGCAGCTGCTACCACTACCACAGACACTTCAGTCTTTGCTACTAGACTCCTATAGTCCTCACAGGCTCTGAGCCAGCTGAGGGAGATTCCCAAAGCCTATGCACTGAGCTACCCCCAGAGAAGGGGACGACTCTGTGCCTCACCCCCAAATCTACACCATGGTCATGCTACTACAGTCCTGCACCGCCTTGAACCGGAGTTACTGCTAAATAAGTGCTGCCCTGGGGCGAGCAGCCAGTGAACCTCTCCATTCCAAGACTTTGCCACCACTACATGCCTACTCAGAAGCATGCCATCCCCAAGTTGAGCTGCTGCTAGGCCCAAACCCCTAAAGTCAACCACCTGTGGGGCTGCCCCATCCCCCTATTCCAGTCGCCGGGACACTTTCCCCTTAGAGCTGAGCTGAAGTTGTGTCATACTCCCCAGGGACCTATAGCCTTTGGCAAACCATGATCCCCCAGTGCCACAGCTGATGCACTGCCCAACCCCAGGGTTCTGGAAGCTCTGCCAACCCATATACCTGCACCCTCTGGAGCTGAGTAGACAGTGCCTAGTGACTCCGGAAATCAGATCTCTGGCTACACTGTGCCATTATGACTTCCTGGTTAGACGCGGTACATGGCCTACCTGAAAATGGACTAGTCCTGCTGAGGCATCCCACCTCTCCGGGTGCTCCCCACCCATTGGGGGCCCAGGCCACAGTGTTCTTCTGCCTTGTTAGGCCCTTGTTGTTGCTGTACCCAGCCTCACAGAGCCTGGACTACTGCCATGTCCCAGCATTCCAGGGCCTATGGTCAACAATGCATGCTACCTCATCTCCAGGAGCCCAAGCTGCCATGACGAGTTCCAGGTTCTGAATTGCAGCTGTGTCCTGCTCTCCAGGGTCAAGCTCCAACTCTTCCAGACCCAGGTCAATGTTGCTCCCTAACACACTCACCAGAGTCATGACCAAGTAGGATTTATCACAGGGATGCAAAGTTAAAAATCAATCAGTGTATTACACTGCTTCAATACAGTAATGGACTAGATCTCAGAATAATCTTGATAGATGCAAAAGAAGCATTTGACAAAATTCAATACCCTTTCATGATAACAACACTTAAGCAAGAAGTAGATGGCCACTTTGTCACTCTGGTCAAGGGCATCTATGAAATACTCATAGCTAACATACTTAACATACCTTCACATCTAACATACTTAACATACCTTCACAGCTAACATACTTAATACACACTCCAGCTAACCTCTTAACATACATTCACAGCAAACCTACTTAACATATACTCATGATAACCTACTTAACATACACTCACAGCCAACATACTTAATGATGAAAACTGATTCTTTTTTACCTAAAATCAGAACATAAGGATGTCTGCTCTCACTACTTCTCTTCAACACTATACTGGAAGATGTAGTGAGAACAATGAGACAGATCAAGAAATAAAAGCATTCAGCTTGAAAAGGAGAAAGTGAAACTCTATTCACAGATGACATCATCATCTATATAAAAAACCCTAAAGAACTTACTAAAAAATGCTACAACTAAGAAATGAGTTCTGCAAGGTTGCAAGACACAGTATCAGTCTATAAAAATAGAGGTAAAAAATTAGGCTATATTTGGGCCCCAGATTTGGAGTTTTCTTTAGTGAACCATTCTCCCTATCAAAAGCCTTCTTTCTGCTGCCCTGTTAATGCCTCCAGGAGTGACGCCCACAGCCCTACTCCTCTTCCATGGTAGCTCTTCACATATTTAAGAATAGTTATTGTCACCTCTACATTTTTTCTGGCTACCTTCTTCATGTTCCATGGTATTTTTTTATCTTGGCAATTTCTGTTACTCCTAGATAGATTAAAAATTACCTTTTACTGACAGAACTTTTTAAGTAAGTAGAATATTCCAAGGGAAAATAAATCTTTTGATCTCAATATTTGTTTTGGTATCTTATTATTAATATTAGGCTGTCTATAAATTACTCCATGCTCTTACTACATCATCCTACATGCATCATAGTCAAATGAAACACCTAAATCTTTTCCGTGTAGCATCAACAGGTTCCAGCTGAGTTTCTGTACTTAAGATTTGTATACTTACTTCAGTTAATATTTATATTACTCATTTCAGTCTATAGTTCTAATTTCTCCTGCTCTTTTTTCTAGTATAGAAAATGTCCTTTATTTTCAAAATAAGCACACTTTCTATGTCACATCATGAAGACAGTGAATGGAAACTCTGAGAGGGCCATGGCAGACTATCAACTACTTCTCTTTAAAATGACAGCAATATATTAATTACTACACATGGGAAAATAGATTCAACTCATGCATTCAGTTGGCTAGGAGTCTACCTAACCATGCTGTATTCACAGCCACATTAAAATTCTCCATCATATCATAAAAATGTTTTTCATGTGGACTACATAAAATCCCTCATTAAACATGAAACAGTACATTTTTTTTTATTGGAAGCACGCTCTGTATTGAAAATCAAGGAAATGACAAGGAGTATGCAAGGAGAACTCTGGTAATAAAGGATAAAATAAAAATAAAAACACAGATAATAGAATATCATTTGGGAATGTCAGATGCAGATAGCTAGGATAACTGATGCTAGCAGCGCTTGTTGATCATTTGTTTCTTTACTTTCTAATGAATATTTATTCATTTCTCTGGACTAGGTAGAAAGATTTAAAATGACAAAGTTTTATAGAAGGCGAAATACAATATGAATCATTTAAAATTCTTCTTACATTATTATATGTCAAATTATTCTTATTATATTATATTATTATATATAAACCAAAAAATAGCAAAGATACTTCCCTCTGAATTTTATCTACGACCTTTGAAATAAAATGTACATGGGAAGTTTTACATTTCTTTTTATGTTTCTTCCAATGTTCTGGTCAAAGAAATGAATAAAGAAAAAACACAACCATAATTTTCTCGGGAAGGAAAAATAATCGAACAAATATCAAATACCTGTGGGCACCTGGCAGCACTGTAGCAATCTCCAGCTGTGGCAAATGGAACTGCTTTTCCAAATATTGTCTGGGAAAAAAGGAGGTCTGTAGCTAGAAAAAAATAAATAAAATTCTTCAACATCAAGATAAGAATGTGATCTTCACCGTCAAGGATACAATTTTCATATTACATTCTTAAATGTGCTTAAATAATTTTAAAGTCTAAGCAAAAATGTCATAATTATAGTACAAAACATAGAACAGATTTTTAATGAATAAATTTTATTTATTACAAAAATATTCATCTCATAAATTGCCCTTGAAACAGCAGATGTAGGGACCAGCAGTTGGTGTAATGGTTATGTCGGTGGACTCCCATGTGGTCGACCGCAGTTCAAGTCCAGGACCTGGTGGCTTAAACTCACCAAGCATGTATGCATGCATGCCCAAGATCCCAAGAGAAGAATGGAAGGAGAAGGAAGGGATTGTTGGGTGGCCATCCCTCCTAGGGGTTGATTTCTCACTTTCTGTCTCTTTTTCTCTCTCTGTCTTTCTGGTGAGCACATGTGCCCTATAGCAAAAGCCTCTCAAAAAAAAAAAAGAGTCAAGGGAGACTCAACAAATACCTCTTTAAAAAAAGAAACAGCAGGTATATATGTATTTATAACAGAAGTTTCTAGGATGAAATAAATGCTTTATTATACTTTACATTAGAGTAAATATCTAAAACAGATGTAGTGAGGTCAAGAGCAAAATTACTAAAGAAATTACTTAAAAGTAAATAATGACAAAGTAATGCATCAGTGCTTATAGGTAGATTTACATTCTGTATCCTTAACTTATGCACTATGTTATTAGACCTTCAGTGGTTATGTCTGCACTGAACATGCAGACTTTTTCTTTTCATCATTCCCTGACAATATAGTATAACAACTATTTATATGGCATTTACATTGCATTAGGTGCCATAAGTAATTTAGAGGTTAAAAATACATGAGAGGATGTACATAAGTTATATGCAAATACCACATCATTCTGTACAAATCTGCATACTTGAACATCTGTAGATTTGGGTATCCTTGGGGTATCCTGGAACCAATCCCCATAGATACTGAGAGACAACTGTGTATCAATGAATTTAGGCAATTTGAAATCAAGCTCAAAAGTGCTAATTTGAGGGGTCTTCTGTCACTGCACTTTATTATTACTTTTAATCTTATTTTGGCAAACATTGTTAGCAATATTTCCTAACTGGTAATAGTGCTTAAGATTCTACATAAAATTTGTGGGAAATCTTCTGAACTAATGTTCTGAATAAGTACAATATAAGGTATGAACCTAGCACGTAAGTAGAGGTGTCTGCCTTAAATGGGAGCACAGCAAACAAACAAGAAGACAAAGAATACAGGGAAATTTTTAAGTATTAATAGGTTGGCAGATGTCGCACTGGGAAATTATGAAAGTTTCCCCTGGTTCATTTTATTTTCTCAGTGAAATAGGAAGATAAGTATTAGCCATATGCTAATTGTATGGATTCTGATGAGTCACTTAACTTCCATTTGGATATCTTTATTTCATCACTTGTAAGATTGTGATATAAAATCTGCCTTATCTAAGAAAGAGTTTTATAAAAATCAAAGAGATAATATATGCAAAAATACTTGATAACTTACAATTCAAAACTGTTATTTTTTTATTTTTATTTTTTTAAAGAGATATTTTTTGCTATAAGATATATGCGCTTGCCAGAGAGACAGAAAGTGAGAAATCTGCCCCCAGGGGGATGGTCACAGCACAGGTGTAATGGTTATGTCGGTGGACTCCCATGTGGTCGACCGCAGTTCAAGTCCAGGACCTGGTGGCTTAAACTCACCAAGCATGTATGCATGCATGCCCAAGATCCCAAGAGAAGAATGGAAGGAGAAGGAAGGGATTGTTGGGTGGCCATCCCTCCTAGGGGTTGATTTCTCACTTTCTGTCTCTTTTTCTCTCTCTGTCTTTCTGGTGAGCACATGTGCCCTATAGCAAAAGCCTCTCAAAAAAAAAAAAGAGTCAAGGGAGACTCAACAAATACCTCTTTAAAAAAAGAAACAGCAGGTATATATGTATTTATAACAGAAGTTTCTAGGATGAAATAAATGCTTTATTATACTTTACATTAGAGTAAATATCTAAAACAGATGTAGTGAGGTCAAGAGCAAAATTACTAAAGAAATTACTTAAAAGTAAATAATGACAAAGTAATGCATCAGTGCTTATAGGTAGATTTACATTCTGTATCCTTAACTTATGCACTATGTTATTAGACCTTCAGTGGTTATGTCTGCACTGAACATGCAGACTTTTTCTTTTCATCATTCCCTGACAATATAGTATAACAACTATTTATATGGCATTTACATTGCATTAGGTGCCATAAGTAATTTAGAGGTTAAAAATACATGAGAGGATGTACATAAGTTATATGCAAATACCACATCATTCTGTACAAATCTGCATACTTGAACATCTGTAGATTTGGGTATCCTTGGGGTATCCTGGAACCAATCCCCATAGATACTGAGAGACAACTGTGTATCAATGAATTTAGGCAATTTGAAATCAAGCTCAAAAGTGCTAATTTGAGGGGTCTTCTGTCACTGCACTTTATTATTACTTTTAATCTTATTTTGGCAAACATTGTTAGCAATATTTCCTAACTGGTAATAGTGCTTAAGATTCTACATAAAATTTGTGGGAAATCTTCTGAACTAATGTTCTGAATAAGTACAATATAAGGTATGAACCTAGCACGTAAGTAGAGGTGTCTGCCTTAAATGGGAGCACAGCAAACAAACAAGAAGACAAAGAATACAGGGAAATTTTTAAGTATTAATAGGTTGGCAGATGTCGCACTGGGAAATTATGAAAGTTTCCCCTGGTTCATTTTATTTTCTCAGTGAAATAGGAAGATAAGTATTAGCCATATGCTAATTGTATGGATTCTGATGAGTCACTTAACTTCCATTTGGATATCTTTATTTCATCACTTGTAAGATTGTGATATAAAATCTGCCTTATCTAAGAAAGAGTTTTATAAAAATCAAAGAGATAATATATGCAAAAATACTTGATAACTTACAATTCAAAACTGTTATTTTTTTATTTTTATTTTTTTAAAGAGATATTTTTTGCTATAAGATATATGCGCTTGCCAGAGAGACAGAAAGTGAGAAATCTGCCCCCAGGGGGATGGTCACAGCACAATCCCTTCTCCTCCATTCTCCTCTAGGGATCTCAGGTACACAGGCATACATGCTCAAAGTGAGTTTAAAGCCGCCAGTCCGGGACTTGAACCATGGTTGACTACATGGAAATCAGCAACTTAACCATTATGCAATCTGCTAGTCCCAAAACTATTAATTATTATTAACTCTACACACATAGGTCAAAGATATTAACTTCCTTGTTTATCATGTAATTGGAGATTTTGTGGTAGAGGGTTTTATCTCGGAAGGGCCATATTTGGTTACTGTCATTACTATTACATTGTCATTAAGGGTCTCTGTGATCCATGTCATTGAAGAGGAAGTATCATTTGTTGATGAGGACATGTATAGTATTCTCAACTGGGCTGGACTGAGTGAGGTGTATATATCATGCTGGGTAAAATGTCTTTACAATCTAAGTTATCTATAGTGATTAAATGTATAAATCATTAAAATTAATAAGTAAAAGAAAAAAATTTAATAACATTGTTTTGAAATTTTAAGTAGTTGTTGCATAATGCTAGGCCTTTCTCTCGACACTGTCTATCATACATACTCATGAGAACTGAAACTGACCACATTTCTTTATTCTAAAATTTTCCAAGAAAACTAAGGAGAGTCATACCAATAAACAGTTCATCTACTTAACAAGCCTCTCTGGTTGATAATTATGGGTTAGTCTTTACAATCTGATCCTGGTAAAATATCATGTGACAACTAGTAAGGCCTTTTTACCTTTGGTAAGATTTTCTTTTCTGCTGACTGATTTTCTCTGAAACAAAGACTTGTGTATTTAACCTATTACTAACTGAAGGCTTTCCACGCCTACCTATAATCTGTAATTGCCCACTTCTAGATGTCCTGTCGTGGGTGCAGATCAATGTATAAACTCCATAGGCTGATTTACAGCTTGTTAGTATCTCTCACTCTCAGAACTAAATAAAAGAGTTTCTCAAGATCTGTTTGGGCTCATGTTTTTCCAGGTTGTGGTCACACAACTGTGAATAAACCTTTTTTAAAATGTTTTATAGGGAACTAGCAGTTAGCGTAATGGCTATGTCGCTGGACTCCCATGTAGTCGACCGTGGTTCGCATCCCAGACCCAGTGGCTTAAAACTCACACCGGGCGCATGTGCATGCGTGCCCAAGATCCCGAGAGGAGAATAGAGGAGAAGGGATTGCGGTGTGACCATGCCCTCTGGGGAGTGATTTCTCGCTTTCTGTCTCTATGTCTCTCTCTGTCTGTCTGGCGAGCGCACACGCCCTATAGCAAAAAAAAAAACAAAAAAACCTCTCCAAAAAAAAAATGTTTTATGGAGTTGGGCTATTTCCATAAATACCAACATATTGTCAGAATTTTATCAGCAAATAGATTTTTTTTGGCTTAAAAATGGAGATTCAGCACTTACTTTTAATTTGCATGGAAGTGAGATCAATTCTTATTTTGCTGAAAACAGTGTATCCAGCAGCTAAGTAGTCATTTTTACATTTACAGTCTTGCCTCCTGCTTCCATTAAAAGGACATTCATATGGATTTTGTAGCCTGTAACATTGAAATATTTTAGTATGAGATATAGTTCTTAAACCTTAATGTAGATAAATAATAAACCTTGGAGGTAGAAAGATAAAAGGCACTTCAAGCTCTCTCAATAAAATGGTATCAACAATAACCAAAAAAGAAGTAAAACTTATTCAAGGTCAATGCAGAAAAGTCTCAATGGACATTTCAAGAATAGTTTGTTGAAAAATAATTCTCCTAGCTTTTGTTAAAGGAATTAAGTTGATTTCTATCAAAATACACATAAGTCTTAAATTCATCCCTTCTCTACTCTACTGTTCATCCATAGCGTTCTTGGTCAATCTCTCTGGGAGCAAATGTTAATGCTCCAGTCTTCATTACTGAACAGCCCTGGGCAACATCTGCCGTAAGTTCTAATATGTCCATCTGCTCCTAAATTACTTTTCTCACGTGAAAAACTATTCAATATCACTAAGAAGGATGCAACTTCTAATTCTTTGGAAGGATCATGAAAATGTACAGATAGACCAAAACACAGCTCATACCTAAGGCCATACACTTCAGAAAAGTTGTCTTCTTCGCCTTTGACCAGTGATAAATATTCCTTTGGGTTCTCCAAGTGCATGCCTGAACAATAGATCTAAAAGAAATATGCAGAGATTTAGGATGCTTTTTTTTCCCAAGTCAGTGGTCAATGTTAAAATCCAATAGGAACTGTTTTCATGATACCTTTACTATCCTTCCCTTAATGTCAAGGTAATAGTCACCGTCTTTGGTAACGTTGTTTTTCACTTGGATTTCTTTGCAGGTTGTAAATGATTTACCTTTAAGGACAACACAACTTATCAGTGCTGAACAAATGATAAACACAACATGAATTTAATCATACAAATATTGCTATGCCTTAAAAATCTGACATTTCATTTTGTGGAGTATATGACTACTAAAAATATTTTATTTTCAAATTTTAAATAAAACTTCTTAGGAACTCTTTGCTATTAGGTAGAGTTTGGAAGTCTATTACTTACATTCATCAACATAACATTTTTTCTGAGCATTTGGTTTTAAACTCTTTAAGCATAAATCACTGGGCCAACCATTTTCAGCCATGCATTCTACTCTTCTCTTCATAACTCCAATTCCACAAGTCACTGAGCACTGTAAACAGTTTGAAGATAAAATGTATAATGAATAATAAGGGCAATAAACCCACATCTGGGTCCTTTGGGAATAAATTGAGGGTCAATAGTGTCTAAAACTACTAAAATACATAAATATACTGGTGGCTGGACAGTCACGAGTAGGAAAAAATCCTCAGTCATGATTCTGAACCTATTATTTCTTAGTAACTGGCTTAATTTATTTCATGCAGTTATGTGAACAGTGTGTGATAAATACTTAATAAACATTAATCAATGATGTTTATGAAGACTAATGAGAGTTTTTCTCATGTAGTTGTAGGTAAGGTTTGAAAAGTAATATTTACTTGTTTTCCATCAATGAAATTAAGAATAAAGTGCAAGTGATTGTTTTACACATATGTTAGATTTGTTGACTTCTTCACTAAACCAATAAATAGTTCTTAAGTACCTACTCAAAGTGTTAGCCAATGTTCAAGGTTCTCTGAGGAATAGAAACAAGTATTAGTTATGGTCTATACTTGTAAGCAAGTTATAGCAAGCATAGAGAAAGACAGAGATTTGCACAAATAACTGATAAAGTGGTTTTACAGACAATAGGGGTATAAGATCACCATGAAAATTTAGTTAGACAATTAGATTACCAGGCATCCCACACCTAGAAGTCTTATTCAGAAAGTTTTAAATTCAGTTTTGTGTACTGACCTTGCTCCATTTTCCAACGTTCCAAGTGGCCACATGCAAGCAGCTCCTAACATTGCATTTGTAACCCTGAGAGGAAGGTAGCACCGGACATTCTTGGTAGTCTATAGGCCAAAGCTGATGGGGCTTATATTTCTTAGTAGACCAGAACTCAATGCAATATGTAATCCTTTGTCGGTAACTAAACCCACAGTTACCTGGACACTGAAAAATACATCGTTACAAGAGGAGAAGAAGACATCTTTAAATATAGCTAGGACCCAATATTTGTCAGATACTTAATGCATTTTATGCTCATCATCACAATAATACCATCTGATTAGTCTCACTTATAGATGAGTAAACCAAGGTTCAAATACATTAGGCAACCTTCCAGAGTTATATCAATAAATGGAAAAGGCAACACAGATTCAGGCTAGATTTTCTTTCTATAGTGGATGTTTTCTGTGTGCTTATTTGTCTGTTTTCCTGTTATACTGCTGCTGACTTAATTGAATAAAACTGCATCTCCCAATCGGCACAGCTTTGAAGAAATTAAACGTATTAGTGGTTCTTACCTAAGATAAAAGGACAGTAATTTGCTTGGGCTTACCAATAAGTATGTATAAATTAGCATACATTGATGTTAATACATATAATGTGAAGTCTAATACATTTGACTAAAATAATTAAGTGATTTGCACATAAATCAAAGACCCAGTCCAAACATGGGCAAATAGACTTCTGCTTCCCGCAAAACTATAACAAGGCATAGATTTCTCTTCTAGCTTGAAACAATAAAACTACCTAGACAAAATACATAAAACAAACCCAGCTACAGTGGCACAGGGGGAGAACACTACTGTATGGTAGCTGAGTCTACATGAGAGACCCGAGTTCGACTCCCAGCTCAGCTTAAAAGGACCAGTGCAGTGGCAGGTGCCTGTGGTCCTAGCTGACCACGAGGCTGAGACAAAAGGATCACAGTATAGCAAGACTGTCAAAAATACATGCTTCTGGGAACCAGCAGTTAGTGTAATGGCTATGTCGCTGGATTCCCACATAGTCGACCGCGGTTCGTGTCCCGGGCCCGGTGGCTTAAAACTCACGCCGGGCGTGTGTGCGTGCGTGCCCAAGATCCCAAGAGGAGAATGGAGGAGAAGGGATTGCGGCATGACCATCCCCCCTGGGGGGTGATTTCTCGCTTTCTGTCTCTATGTCTCTCTCTGTCTGTCTGGCGAGCGC